AGGCATCAGGTGGGAAGAATTTTGACAGGAATTTTTAAAATTTCGAAAAACCAAAAAGTTGTAAATTATCCAAAAAGCGGAAAAAACATTTTTTTGAAGAATTTCACTTTCAAAATTCTTTTAGAATTTTTTAAAAAAAATGTTTTTTACCCTTTTCATACAATTTGCAGCATTTTTTGATTTTTCGAATAATTTTAAATTTTTTATAATTTTTTAATGACTCTTTCCATGAGATGAATGCAACCCTCGGTGCATGCCTCACCCTGTCTCTGCCGGACTCGGACTCTGCATCACCCGCTTGCTGACTACTTCGCTGTCTGCAACAACCTGCCTCTGCATGACTCGGTGTATGGCCGACCGTGTCTCCGCCCGTCTCGGTCTTTGCCTTACGCGGTGACTACCGCACCTCGGCTTTTCAGAGACTGCACTTCAGAGGCCGTGTGAGGAAACGACCGCGTTCGTCAGAGACACAGTACATAAGAGACTGTCCGACAGAGACCGGTTCTGCAAGGCATCAGGTAGGAAGAATTTTAACAGAAATTTTTAAAAATTCGAAAATTTTCGAAAAATCATAAAATGCTGGGAATTGTGTGAGAAGCGCACAATACTAAATATTTTTTAAAAATTCGAAATAATTTTGAATGTGAATTTTCTCAAAAATTTTATTTTTTCCCTTTTTGGATTGTGTGTAGACTGACACAGTCCTTTTCCGACAGCGACAGTACGACAGAGACCGGCACCGACAAGAGACAGCTTCCGTCACGGAACGAGTGGGGGAATTTAAAAAACTTCTAAAATTATCAAAATTCGAAAAATTCTGGAAATTGCCTAGAAAGCGTTCAAAACTAATGAAAAATTTCAAATTCAATTTTTTTTAAATATTTCGAAAAATTTGTGTTTTAACGCTTTTTAGAAAAATTTCAGCATTTTTAGAAAATCTTAATAGAATTTTTTTTTTCAAAATTCTCCTTACCTGCCTCACCCTGTCTCTCCCATTTCCGGGCTTTGCAGTGACGGCCCATCAGAGACCAGATCGATTAGAGACCGAGTCTGGAAGAGACCGCGTTAGTCAGACAGGCTGCAACTGATACCGGGTCCGGAAGAGACTGGTTCCGGAGGGGAACTGGTGGGGAGAATTTTTAAAAAAATGTCAAAGTTTCAAAAAACGAAAATGCTGGAAATTTTCTACAAAGCGCACAAAAGTAACAAAATTTGAAAAATTTCAACTTCAAAAAAATTTCAAAAATTTCGAAAAGTTTTGGTTTTGTGCGCGTTTTAGACAAATTCCAGTTATTTTTTATTTTTTCGAGAATTTTGAATTCATTTTCAAAATTCTCCAAAACCAGTGTCACTTATCTCAGGTATTAAATTCATCCATCACCCTCGAAGTAGTTCCCCTGGGAGTGAACACAACGATCCCAGCGCCGCTGCCAAGCCTGGAAGCATCCCTGGAAATCTTTCTTTGTCACCCTGTCAAGCACCATCTGCGATTCTGCCTGAATCTCTTCTATCGTCTCAAATCTCCTCCCCTTTAGCTGAATTTTCATCTTTGGGAAGAGGAAGAAGTCACACGGAGCTAAATCCGGCGAATAAGGAGGGTGCAGGATGACGGCCATGGTGTTTGAGGCCAAAAACTGCCGAACTTTGAAGGCGGTGTGCGCTGGTGCGTTATCTTCGTAACTTTTTCGGGCGTTGTGCTCGAAGATGGTCGTCCAGAACTCTCGTCATCATCGACAGAGGTTCGGTCATTTTTAAAACGTGAATGCCACACAAAAGTTTGCGGACTCCCCAAATGCTTGCTTTAGCATTTCATAGGTTTCCGTAGCCGTTTTGGCGAGTCTTTGGCAAAATTTGATGCACACGCCATTCCGAAATCGCAGGAGGGTCGGTGTAATGCACTACCAAAACGCCCGTAACTAAGAAACAAATGCTAATTCGATGATGCCGGCTGGCACACTGATTCACTATGAATGTAGGCCGCACCCCCTAGCGGCAAAAGCTCGTACTACATCCGGTTCGCCCTCTATTGACACAGTCTTGAAACTTTCCGATCGCACCTCGTATAGGGACCAGATAGTGTAGAGACCGAGTCTGGCAGAGACCGCGTCCCTGAGAGACAGGGTATGACAGAGACCTGCTCCAGCAGATACAGGTTCCGGCAGGGATCGGATGGGGAGAATTTTGAAATAATTTTCAAAATTTTCAAGAAATTGAAAAATGCTGGAAATTGTCTAAAAAGCGAACAAAATAAAAAATCTGAGAAATTTAAAATTCACCAATTTCTCCACATATTTCGATAACTTTTGGTTTTGTGCGCGTTACAGATTCCAGTATTTTTTTATTTTTCGAAAATTTTGCAAACTTAATTTTTTCCCAATATTCCCAAAAACCGGTGTCTGCCCGCCTCGGTCTCTGCTGGTTTCAGTCTCTGTCTCACCCGGTCTGTTTCAATTGGTCTTTGTCGGACTTAGTCTGTGCCTCAATTGGTCTCTGCCGCACTTGGTCCTGCCTCACCCTGTCTCTTCCGGACCGGGCTTTGCAGTGACGACTCGTCAAAGACCGGGTAATAGAGAGACCGGATAGTGTAGAAACCGAGTATGTCGGAGACCGCGTCCTTCAAAGACAGCGTACTACAGAGATAGGGTCCGGCAGGAAACGAGTGGGGAGTATTTTGAAAAATAATTTCAAATTTTTAAAAAAATTCCAAAAAATCGAAGAATGCTGGAAATTGTCTAAAAAAAAGCGAACAAAACTAACAAAATTTGAAAAATTTCAACTTCAAAATTTTTTCAAATAGTTCGAATTTTTTGTCAAAGGTCAGAAAAACATATAACAGCTGACAATTAGGACAACAGCACCAAGAGGAACTGAAACGACTATCAAAGCAGTTGCTATTAGCTCAACAAAATGGGCAGGAAACATTTTGAAGGTCAATATTAAGAAATGAATGTAAATGCTGGACTGATTTCTACAAGTATGTAAAACAGAGTAAAGGAAACAGGGAAAATATTCTGGCGAACAAAGATGGTAATGGACGGCTCATTACTGATTAGACAGAAAAGGCCAACTCCCTTGATTTCTATTATTCTTCGGTATTTAGCTGCGAGCGTAGCATCCCGCATATACAATGCGCTAACTCAGGCGAACCCTTCTCCATTAGTACTAAAATCATTAGGAAAAGGCTAACAGAGATAGGAAAAAACAAATCAGTAGGGCCAGACAGTGTTTCTGGTGAAATTCTAAAACTGGGTGGGGAAGCCATGATTCCATACCTTGCGCGATTATTGGACGTAACAATAATAATGCCACTATACCAAGGGATTGGAAATAAGCCATAGTGGTACAAAGGTGGTGATCGATCATTGGTCACAAATTACAGACCGGTCAGCTTAACCTCGGTGGTCTGCAAACAATTGGAACATGTTACAGCATCATACCTGAGGAAAGTCTGGGAGGAAAAGAACTGGTTATTCGAAGGTCAACATGGTTTCAGGCCGGGATATTCATGTAAAAGTCAAGTAATCGCGGTTTGCCGGGACATTGCAGACACACTGGATAACGGAGGTAGGTTAGACGCTATTATAACAGATTTTTTGAAGGCCTTTGAAAATCGCGGCATCAGGCGTGAACTCGAGAGTAGTCGTATGGGTAAGGGAATTCCTTTTGGGCCGAACGCAGAGAGTTAGAGCAGGAGAGCAATTATTAGAGGAAGTCAGAGTAATGTCAGGTGTACCGCAAGGGAGTGTATTGGGTCCACTTCTATTCCTAGCATACGTAAATGATATTTGGAGGAACACTGAATCGACTATTAGACTTCTTGCAGATGACTGCATAATATATAGGAAAATTATAAATAGTAAAAATATAGAAAAGATGCAGATGGATCTGAACAATCTGGGGGAGTGGGCGGTTGAAAATTAATCCAAGTAAAAGGCAGTTCGTTTCGGATGAAGGAACCACTAAACTATTCGTCACGGGACCAAGTAATTCCGGAAGTGAGCAGTTGTAAATACTTGGGAATACTCTTAAGCAGCGATTTATGCTGGGCTGATCAAGTAAATTATACGGTGAAGAAAGCCTGGAAGGCACTTCATTTTACAATGCATGTTCTCAAAAAGGGAAATAGTAACACTAAAAGTCTAGCCTACACATCACTAGTGCGTCCGATTCTGGAATATGGGGCGGCGAGCTGGGATCCTTACAGGGAGGGACAGATAAATGCGTTAGAACGGGTTCAAAAGAAAGCATGTAAATTTGCATATCATAGGAGCGATTCGAACTGGGGAACCCTGGCACAGCGTAGAAAGATAGCACGTATATGTGCTCTCTTCAAAGCGTGTACGGGAGAATAGGCATGGAAGGCTATATGTGACAGATTGCAAAGGCCAGGGTCGATCATATTCGGAAATTTAGGAGTAGAAAGCAAAGGACAGATATCGGGAAATATTCCTTTGTAAATAGGACCATCCAAGTCTGGAACCAGCTACCTGTGGATGTTTTAGGGACTCTCTCCTGTAAACCAAGTACTTTTAGTATGAAGGTTAGGAAAGTGATAAATGAGCTGAAGTGAACGGAATAAATGGGTGGGTGCAGTGAAGGGGGGTAAAGTGGGGTGAGGATGGGAAGGCTTCATAAGTGTAGTGAAGTGAAGAGAAGAGAAGGTCCTGATGAAATGTGAGTGCATCAGTTAATGACGTATGTAATTCATTACTGTTACTGTCTTATGTCTAGTTGGTATTATTTTTTAAGTTATCTGTTGCGTTTTTATTTTGTGTGATGTATGTTGTTTTGTTTGTGTCTTATTGTAGCACCACTGCCACCGGGTATAAACCCATTTGCAGTTAATAACAATAATTCCAAGTGGTGGGCTGGCCAGTGGCCTAGGTAGATTCATTGCGGCGTGTTGGGGCAGTGTTACCAAGGAGAAACTTTCCAAGGCGTACATTCCGATGTCTGGCATAATTAAAGTGGTTGAAAACGTCTGAGCAATAATGGTAATATTTATAAAGTGTCACTATATTATGTTCCTTTTTAAAGGATGACTTCAAAGTATTACAAATTGATATAAAACTAAATTAAAAACCTTCCATGTGTCTGTAAATACTTTATCAAGAAGAATCAAGAGCTTCATGCATCAGTTGATATAAGAATAACAGAATATACAAAAATTATTAGTTAAATAACAAGAAAGATTTTTAGCAATCTGTAGCGATGTATTCAGTCTGACATTAGATATGAATAATTGCATCAAGGTCCATCAGCTCACATTAAATACAAACAAATCACTGATCAAAGTAATTATAAATATTTTCCAAACCATTTTTTGTCATAGGGTGATATCCAATTGTGACATCCCCCTAAATTGTTCTGTATAACATATTTAAATGTATAATGATTTAAATTCTCCTTTTCTGATCTCTCTTCCTCTTCGGCCATTTCTTGCATCATCTGCTGACTCACTACCTTGGCTGCAAATGGTAATTTATGAGCCACCAACTCTAGGATGGGTTGTACCTGGTAGATGAAAATTAATTATACAGGATGATTCAATATCAGTGAATACTGGTGAACATTCTTGCACCCTTGTACAGAAGGCATGTTCATACACAAAAACCACCTTTCAAGTGTAAGATATGAGGTTTTCACAGCGGTGAGTATGAAGATTTCTGTCTTCTGCGTTGTTGCGCTGTGTAGTCTGGTCGATGTTAACATCGACC